ATATATAGCTAAATGCATGAAAACGAAAGTCAATAAGATGTTGTATGCGTGAGATGAGGAAGGTCTGCTGCTCTTGCTGGCGCTGCCTGCATGTCAATAGGTAAGGTGTTTCCGCCCGGTTCAACCGCGCAAAGTAGCCAACAGGATACGCGTTGCTAATTAACACAATATAATATAATCTGCGCTTGTGTTGATAAGTGAAAATAGAAATCGTAATAGCACATGCCTGCAGAAAACCAATTGATAAACGAATAGCGACGGCTAGCTAAATGGTCACTTACGTACTCAGGCAAATCGGCGAAGGCCGGTTTTAGGCAGAAAAAGAGAATAGTGGTAAACAACAAAAGGAAAGAAAAGACTGTGGTCACTACCGGTTGACTTCGACGCGATAGAATGGCAACGCAGCCTATTAGCTCTGTTGAGCCTAAAATGATTATTGTCATTTATCAGACAAGACTGACAGGAGTCGCGTCCCGTTTCCCTTTGAATGGTACAAGCGTCACACATGTTAATAACAAGTAACATGCACCTATAGACTCTATATCGAATATGGCGTGAAGAGAATGTTTGATGATAGTGAAAAAAAAATATTTGATGTTGCTGTTAACTGTGGTAATAAGCGAAGTAACAAGGATCGATGAAGCGAACGGTAGAGCAAAACACAGAATAAATAACGGTAGCCAATATAGGGACAACTGACTGTTCGGAGACGGGCGACTTGTTTCAAGTAAATGTCCGTTAGATCGTGTCATGGATTCGCGCGTGAGTGTGAGTGTGCTATGAATCCAAGTGTTAGAGAAACAGAGAAGCGCTGAATGTAGGTTTTTATTTACTGTGACGCATTTGTGTCTGTCTGTTGACTGCATTATGAATAGCCAGCGGCGACTAGCTATTGACTGACTAATTATTAATGAAAGTTCATAAAAACGATTTGAACACCAGTCGACAAAAGCACGCTTGTTTGTGGCCTGATCAAATGACGACGGTGTGAGGAGAGGCAGATATTGGGAATAGCATAAGGTGATCGGTCGCTTAGAAAATCATACAGCGAGGTTAATGGAGAAAGTCCGATCATGTCACGGTTGGCCTCCAGAACGCGTTGTTCTGATTCTTGGGCAAAGTCACGGGGATCAATGGTACTTTGTGGTGCGACCTATGTGTGTATGCACTTGTGTGTGTAAGGATATTGCTAAGTAAATAGAAAATCTAAAAAAGTAAGACACTTTTCCCAGACACTCAGCACTAAGTCAGAGGGCTTCTGCTGGGTTTAAGATAGCACCAAGCGACAAAAATCACACACACACACATCAACAAATTCGTAAAAAGTACAGTCGAACGGATGATTGAAATAACACACGTGTATCTGATCTGAACCAGGTCAATATATGAACGCTGCGTATACAGAGCACCGTGTAAAACTTGTAACTCGAACACTTCTGGGGCCACAAATAAAAGTTTCGAAATTTGACGATCTGCTTACTATTGCAAAAATGTACCATACAGAGTTCCAAGCTTGTCGTAATAATACGATCGGCAGCATGCCGCCGGGCCTGGTTCCCTTTGGCCAGCTAACGGAGGTCAGATTGCCTTTTGCAGCTACAGCTTTTGTGTGATGCTTAGAAGCACGAATCTGGTGTGGCGAAAGCACTTGACGCGTGTGACTTGTACGACATCACCTGAGTCTAGCCACAGAAAGGAAATAATTCAGAATAGGACAAAAGTAAACGTGTAACTACAAGATACTCCAAAAGTTGGTTTTGCTTCAAGACTATGTTGTTCATGGGTTGTACGCCAGGCCAGTTCTCGACAACGGTTAGCGGCGTAAGCCTTCGCTGCTGGCATCTCTTACCGTAAGTGCGGCATAGACAACACACATCAATCAAGGTCGAAACTCATAAAAATGTTCACTGAAATTCGAATTTAATCTTTTTGGTCGCCTCTTGCACTTCTTTGAACCAGAGTGAGTACCTACTCATTCATTGGTTCGTCATATTGACTCTGGTTTTAAGAACTATGTGTCGAGTGCTAATGGATTATGAAGAAGTAGCTTAACAAATAGAGTCTGTTGTATGTTTGAATAGTTATTTTTGAAAGAGATTTTTTTACTAAATGGAAATGCGAAAGCACTTAGCTTCATTAATTATATATCAAGTACTGTTAAGTTTCTCTTGATAAGTTTGAGAAACCGCTGATGCCAGCTGTCGCTTTGTTACGAAGCGCATATTAATAATCGGAAATATAAACTTCATGTTTCTTATTGGCTGAGGTTAGATCAGAATGACCTGAAAAGGTAAAAATCAATGAAAAAGTTCGTGTTAAATGACTGCCTGATTAAATCGTCCGGTACAAGTGGTCGTCTGAACAGTTCCAAAATGTATATGAATTTAGTAAGTCCGAAAATTTCAATATTTAGAAGTACGGAAACAGGTTGAAAACCGTAGGTGAACCAGTTGACGCGGCTGACTGGATGAACACCCGATGGAACGAAAGAATTGCAGCGCGTTAGTTAATAAAAACCATATTATTTAGAAAACTGCCGAAAACAAATTCATGTGGAATGACGGTATACCGATGATAATGCTGTCCATATTTCAAGAAAAATGTCCTTAGAAAAACAGTAGCCGTCGTTAAACTCATTCATGATCTAGAAAATGGTCACTTCTATTTCACCTTTTTATTATTATATGGATCGATAAATCTATTAGTAAGTGAAAAAATGCAGGAAACAGAGCTCCGTTCCGGATTCTGAAGTCACTTGAGTAGCCCGTCATTGGCGTCATCAAAGAGACTCAGAAAGTTTCTACACTAATATGCCACCCAGGTGATGCCGCCTATTGATGTATTATTGCACTAGGCAGCGGTGCAAATATATAGCAAGCAGCACTAGTACCAATATGGCTTGCGCACCTAGCGGTAACCAGCGCATAACCGAGAGGATAATATAGGCTCAAAGGAAGGTAGAGAACATGCCTCACAGGCGCTGCAGTTGACGGCTACATTGACTCGACAGGAACAATACAGACTCGACGATCGTACGATACTCGGTGGTAGGTTAAATGCGACGGATGAAAGTGTGAGTAAGACAAGAAGGCAAAAGAAAAAAACTAGATTATCACAAATGATAATATAATAATGAATAATAAAATGATCACTAATAATAACAGATGGTGACTCTGGGATTAGTATATTGCTATTGTTGTTGTCAGTGTCATGACAAGAATTACTTTTGATTAACACGATGCGCGGTTTGGTAAATAATGTAATAGGCGAAATAATCGTCGTGCAATGAACAGGGACATCGCGAATATGGAGCAGAATGTACTCCCTCATAAATGAATGTCGGATGGGAGAAAAATGACTATAATGCTAATAGAATAGTAAAGGGCAACGCACGCCATGATATTCCTAGTGATGACGGTCAAGAAATGTTCAAATACGAACCGTGTGAATTAGAGTGCGCGTCAATAAACTAGTCGAGTAAATGAGAAATAACTATACGAATATGCGATGATATAGCAGCAAATGGATAATAAAATAAAAAAACACTTTTCAATTGTTATTGTTACGACAGGAAGGTAGCAATAATAAAATATACGAAAAAAAATGAAAAGATTATACTGTGTATTAAATCATAGTAAGAATTAGATAAGTAAAAAAGGGAGAGAAGGTGTTTAATTCAAAAGTGGTGGATTCACAGCCATTTGCAGATCCCGAAATATATTTCGCTTTTTTTTGAGTGGTAGCTAGCTTCGTAACCTCTATAATAATAATAATAATAATAATATAATATATATATATATATAGGACACAATGTAAGAGTCTTGGACGCACGGACAGTTTCGAAATTTCTTTTCAACGGTCGTTTTTTTACATTCAGGGGGATTATCATCATTAAATGACAATAATAACCTAGGCAATTACAGTTAGGGTTCTCAAAAATTACACTTAGCGAATATCGTTATTTAGGCAGGTCTTGTTTCAGCTTTTGTTTCATGAATATTTGACTATAGAATTCAGCGCGTTTAACTTTTGCTCACTTTGAAAAAGGCTTTAGGTTTTTGTTTTCAAATCGATAAAGAAACTTTTCGAGACAGAAAACGTTTGCGAAGGTAATCAACCGTCACACGTGTACTTGGCACACAATGGGAATGATAAGCATCCGTTTTTAACCAATATTATCGGACAATTTATTATTACTCTGTATAGATTCTTTTTCATCACAAAAATGTATTCGTCGTAATCATAAATAATAAGATCGTTTTAGGACGATCTTTTGTCTCTGTTTTCTCAGTTTTGTTTGTTACTCATTGCAGACACACATACATACTTGTGTTTTCATCATTACATCCTTATCCCAGTTCGCTGTTTATCACCTAATTCATATATAACTCTCCCTTCGATATATATATGTATATAAGGTGACCTCTATGTACCATACAGATATTGCATTTGTCTGCTACACACCTCTTAGAATTGTTTTAGCGCTGTTACGTTACGTACTTTACCACTTTGTAGCTGTGGACAGCTTCACTTATGAAAAACGCGTTCAAAAATGAGAGTAGACGTTCGCCCCACATAACATTTACTCCTAATTGTTAATCATTTTTCTGATCCCGCCATTTTTATAGTTGGCGCTAATGTTATAGGCCTTTATATATAGTTCCTTACCGTGTAAGATGCATATCGAGGCGATTAGGATTTAAGCAGTGAAAAATTAACGAAATTAAAACGGTTTAGGCCTTCTAGACTTTTTAACAGTAGATCACACACACGCTAAAATGTTATCATAAACGCATCTATACTGTAATTCACTCCTTAACTTCCCGTCACTTCTGTACACGTTAATTGCTTTGCAGTACATTCTCATTCAGATGTAACGTCTCTTCTATGACGGGTAGGTTCAGATTTTTTGTCTTACTTTTCTCTAAGCGCCATATGCCATTTGTTAGATGTATTAGCGCAAATCACTTCGACCCGATCTGCTGAAGCAACTCTGAAACAATTACAAAGCCAGCACTAAAACTGTGGACTTTTCCAGATTATTCTACGCACATATGCGTTATCCGATCCGTTATTCTTCCTATGCTTGTTCCACATCGTCAGGGAGATTTCAAACCTTTTCACTCATTGGTGACTCTTGCTGCTCGCTGTTCAAAGGAGTTCTGCGTCGCCAAAGTTTACCTCCCAAGCAAACTAGATATTCTAAGGATAACGTGACTTCTGGTCAATAATCACGAAACAAATAAACAATTACTGCTGAAATCAGAAATTGTTTATGTGTACTCGTTTTGCTAGGTAAAATCTAAGATGGGCATCCATGGTTAACTATCGGCGATTCCCAGTCAGTTAAACGGATGGGAATATAAGAGCTGGCAGCTCTATAGATCCGAGTCGAAGACACGTACTCGTAACAGTCGTAGTGTCACTTTCGGTATTCCCCCTTGCGAAAACTTATGTTGTACCTCCGAGGGCACTTTCGGAATGTCTGCAATATAACAATGATGATGACGATAGTATTTGTGATGATGAAGAACTAGTGGGTTGGTCGACCACAAAACAAGCGAAGTTTGTTGCACTTAACTGTTGTCGCTCCATGAAGGATAGCCCAAAGGCGCGCTGCTCTTCTTCCTATTGCGTAATGTATTGCCCGTATACATTGTGGCATGCTCATTTTTTTCTTCTGTTTCGCCAAAAATTGCTCTAATTTTGCCAGCGCTTAGTGTCTTCTGTTTAAAGCGAACGAGGATAATGATGTCCTTGTTTGGTTAATGGCGCATGGAATTCATTGACATTTATCACCATCAATGTTACCGTGAACTTGCGTACAGGTAGAATATCAAAACCAACAAATGGCGCTACTGCTTTTAATGTTCTGTAGTGGCACATGATTGTTGTGAAAGCTCACGAGTCATCACTGATATATATTATAGACCTGCTAATGAATCAACCGCAACGCATTACACGGGTATCTATACAATCAATTGGTGGAATAGGGTACAGGCATTATTCAGCCTTTTCCGAACTCTGTCACCAATCATAGGATGTAGCTCTCTTGAATAGACGAAAAGTGTCGATTTAGCCGTATAAGCATCTTCATCAGTACGAAAAGCGGTAAATTGCAGAACATGGCAGAAAAAGAGATTACGCCAAAACGCACCTTTTTTAACGCTATTTGTAACGTTCAAGTCCCAGTCTAACATTTAATGAATATCAGAGAGCCAGCAACAGCATTTAAGGCGTGCACGAATTCGCTATCGTTGTCTATTCCTCAAAGAGGCTCCCGGAAGTTATAAGCCTATTAATCTCGGCCAACGCTTGATTAAGCAGCGTCTCACGTGAGCTTTTTCCATCGATAATGAGTAATGCGCTAGAAGTTTTCGTCGGCTCTTTTTGTTTGACGAGAAGACAAACCGGCTCACCGGAGATTGCTGTTGCCAGGAGAGATGCACTTTGACCGACCTGTACAATCCAAGCAAAGTTAGATATTCACTTATACTAACCTATGCCTTTGTTTGAAAGAAGGAAAAATATTCACGGAGTCGCGCGATTTTAGTCGAGCCTATGAATATGATACGATATATCACGCTTAATTGTCCCTTCTGTTAATAGTGCTTAGGTAGCTAATCAAAATTGATTGGACGCGCTGAACGATTTACGGTTTACCTGTTCAATTTGGGCGAAGTGCGCATGAAAGGCAAGCTTCGAAAGCAAATGAGTGAAGTCCACATCGACATCGGGAATGGTTAATGAACCTTTGGCCATCAGGGAACCGGATGACAGCATTCCGCAGAAGACATCACTATAAAAAATGTGGAAGCGACGGGAAAACACGTTGCTGTTTGAGACATTCACGTCTTGCGAAACAGTATAGTCTCAAACCCATATCATTACCAGCTACGGCGTGTTTGTAACGATAAGCCGATAAATCCATTGAATATCGTATAATTTGCACTGTCAACACCAGGGCAACGCTATGGCAAAAAATTTATTGCCAGCTTTACAACCGAGACTTACCTGGTAGTTGGAGTAGGGACAAGGTAAGCTACGACAGGGACCTTGATCTTGCAATCGATTTTATCACTAAGAACGCCGTTTTCTTCGATCCACATATAGGTAAGTGTGGCCTTCACCTGGTCGGCGGCCAGATGTGATACTTCAAAGGGAAACTCGTTAATGTGCGAAGCGCCGGCTGGTAACACGGTGAACGGTAGTGCGGGCACCGTCGAGTCATCAGAATCCGCAGACCTAACGAACTTCAGGTATTGTCCGTCACGAAACGACAGCTCGAGTTGTTTTAGCGAATGGCCAGATTTGTTAGTGAATTTGAGCGCGCAGACCAATTGGTCCCGGGCATAGAGCATTGTGCGAATTTCGTAACTCTGTCGAAAGTTCGTTTACCGATGAGACAAAAGTTAGAAGCCGGTTTGTTAAAGCATAATACAGCAACAATGGTCACGGAACTGTGCATATATTTGCTCAGAGAACCTTATAATATTGACGTGTTCTATTGAAGCTAGAAAAAATATCCCAGCAACTAAGTTGTACGTGAGCATCTTTTTTAGAGAGATGCAGATAATATGTGTCAATTAGCACCCACTAACACTTGAAGTCACATACTTCTATTGACGAGATAAACATTATCTAATGACGTTATTATTTTTAAAATGCTTGTACGGGATTCGCTAACCCCTAAGCAAATTGCCGCTTACAATTTTGACATTTTGATCCTCTTTCAGGGGCTCGAACCGCGACTCGCACTGGAGAAGAGCGAGGGATGGACTGAGCGGTGTCTGTAACAGGGAAATGCCCTTTTCATGTGACGGCGTAGTGATGCCCGGAGTCTCCTCATAGCCACTCTTGTTCTGTTTGTGACCACCAAAGAGCGTTATTGATGATGAGAGACTTCCACCTTCAGATGAGGTCCTTTTTTTAGGAGTGTGGTGTTTACGGTGTGTCGAGTCACGGCCTTCTTTGCGGGACGAGCGTTTTTCTTTCGGGCCAACCGAAGCCTGAGTAACGCAGACGGACATAACGTTCGATTCGATTATAATTATCTACAGAGCGTTAATATTCAGTGTGAATTTAATTAATAGTTATGATGAATAACAACTTTCTGTTGTAGTGGACAAATCGTCGTTGTAGGCGCGCTAGCATCGGATCGACTGATCATAGGAATTATAAAATGACTGCTATCAGTTGTTTGCATGTACTGAGAAAGATTGGAGAAGAAAAGTGGGCACTAATGTGAACGCATTCAAAAATGTCGAAAAAAAACACCTGCCCCTGACAATATGTTTCTCCTTGCTTGTATTAAAATAATTGCAAATTAGAAGAAAAAAGCCTGTTGCCAGCGATAAGGGACCGATTTTTTGCGACATCCCTAAACGCAACCAGAATCATTAAACAACTCGGCGCCATGAAGGAATATTTATGGCCAAAAGGCGCACTTTTGTGTACGGTGTGATAAAAAGGAACTTCTAAACTATGAGCTACTCAAATATCAAGAACGAACTACCGGAAACCATTACGCAAATTAACCGATCCGTGCGGGCCACGGAGTTCACAGAAACAGGCTCTGGCCTGGCAAAGGGCGACGCAAAATATTATTGATGGCTTAACAACGCTACACTGCTTATAGCTTAAATACACAGCTTGATGACTTAGAGGGCGCTAACGAATTTCCAGCAGGCACGTCTGCCTAGTGCAACGTGGAAGCCGGACAACGCTCCACCTGATTATCACCTATTTTGGTCATAGCCGGAGAGGCAAACACTTCAGAACAGGGACCAAATATCACAAATGGGTCAAAGAATGGATCACTCCTAAGGATCAAATCTTTTTATTTCGCGGGACCTATATATCGGTTACCAGAAAGAACGGCGAAAGTTATAGAAAGCAAAGAACACTGCATAAACTAAGATGTGTTTATTTGTTTGACGGTTATAACAAATGAAAGTGGCTAAAGACAACGGGAACTTTTTACTTAATCTAATGGACGGCACTTACGATGCACATTACTCGGATACCACCAATACAGAACCGACACTGGCCAAAATGTTCGGTTGACATGTTAGGTAGATGTTTCTAAGAACTTAATAACACGCTCATAGGTTCAAGTGACTTAGTCACCAAACAAAACATTAGCTTTGAAAAGCTTGTTCAACTTTTATAGCATGGTCTTGATTCTTACCTTGTCATGTTTCGATTTTGTGCTGCTATGATGCCGTATGGATTTTTCGAGTTCACTTGCGTCGGTGCTGTCCTTTTTCTTATAATTCTTGTCATGTTTCTTGTCTTTTTTGTCTTTCTTCCTCTTTTCCTTTTTCTGGTGGCCAGACCCGTCGATATCCTTAATTAATAGGCCATCATCCATGCTAAATGACCACAATTCAAGGATAAATGTCAGAGGGTTATTACTAATTATCAGCTACTCCAACTGCGTTTAGTTAGCTCATATCGAATTACATACAATTTAAGAGCGGCCAATGGATAACGCCAAAGAAACGTAGAATTCCTATATTTTCCAGCCGACCCTCATCCTATAATACAAGCGCTGAGCCTCCTTTAGCGCGATACTAAAGCTCCTCATAACGCTTCCTATTAACAAGCATTACCTCTCGTCATTGGCGATGTTCCTCCTATTGTTGTCGTCATTATTATTATTGTTATTATTGTTGTTGTTATTATTATTTTTTTGGTGATTTTCGTTGTTGCTTTGAAGAGTGGGCGACGTTACAGTCGCTCCTGCAGTCACGGCCGTTGTAATCGACAACACCTTTGATTCTTTGCCGATGTTGCCACTCTTTGCCTTTGAGTAGTGACTAATAAATACGCTCTCTTCCAATGCGACTCCAAGGTCAATATTTAACGCGCGATGGGGATCGTTGGCGTCCTTGTCGTCGTCGCTGTCGCTGAGTTTGGCTCCGTCTGGCAGCTCCATGTGTGTTTTGACGAGGACGCTCGGCGATTCGTCCATCTCGGCTTCCTCTTCGTCTTCCTCGCTATCGGCCCGCAAGACCTCCGAAAGCTTTGCGTCCTTTTTGCGTTTGCCACCCGAAGCTGATTTCTTGCTGGACCATTTCTTATGCCGCTTAGTGTCGCCTTCTTCGTCTACGCCACCTTCATCTGCAGCTCCACGTTCGCCATTTCGATGACTCCGTTTATTTCGACATGAATCGCCGTCTGCGTTGAGCGCATGGAGAATATCCTGCTCAAGGCCACTTCTGGCTTTATCTCGGTGGTTTCGATGGCTGTTGGACTTCGTATTGTCTTTCTTGCCAGACTTGGTGCTACCTTTTAGGTAATGCGGATTGTCCGCCTGCTCCGAACGTCGAGCTTTTCGTCGCTTTTCCATTTCCTCCTCATCAGGGTCGTAGCGGGCAGCTTCCTCAGCAATTGTTACCCTATTGAAAAGCGGTGAAACATTCAATTCAGATCATCGTTCAAAAGTGTGTGGGACCGGTAATTTTCTTTAAACTCTGACTACTACAACGAACTGATTCATCAAACACGAACAATTGTCTAGCAGAAAGAAAGATGCTTTCGATTCAAATCTACCTTTAACAGAAGTAACTAATATCGCACGATTAAAATGAAGCTAGTTCATAACCAAGGGAGCGCAAAGCAATTGATGTTATTCCAGAAAAGAACAATGCATTTTATGCCTTACTTCTCGGTTTTGAAGAATATCTCCATTCCTCCAGCGTTTTCGCGGTCACTATCATTGTCACTTGGTGGCTCATTAATCCATGAGTCAAGATCCAGGCCTTCTGGCAATGGTACTTTTTTTTGAGCCTTTGGAGCAACTGGATTGAGTTCACCCTGGAATAGGAAGTGTAATTTCTGGCGCACATCTTCTCCTCGGTCGAAAAGCTTTACAGCTTGTTTTACCAAAGCCAGCATACAACACGCCCGCTCCTGAACCTCGAGGTCACCTGAGTGCACAAAAATAGGCAGTCTATCTATAATCAGTGCTGATAACCGCCGGAAAGTCTCTTCATTACACGAAGCACAAATGCCAGCGTATATTTTAAGGACATTTTGAACGAAAGTCGCTTGAATGTGGGGTGGAAGTTGGCAGGCCCTGGTTCGAAGCATATGCTCCATACACGCTTCCGGATCTTCAAGAAGGCTGCAACAATGTTCGTTCTTAGAAAAACAACGTCAGCCAATAAAAGTTGCTAACAAAAAATCAAGGCTCTCTTAATTTTATTCATTTTGACATTTTGAAATTAGAACGCTATTCACCTCTTAAAGTGGCAAAAATCATGCCATTCTTTTGTATTTTTTTTTCATTTTATTTTTTGTAGAGCATGTGTCATACGCATATTACTTACTGTGAGAATTCTCCACAGATGTACGCAGCAGCCATGAGCACCTGCGTGATAGAGTCTTTTTGGCCAATTAGTAGCGGCGTGTTGGCGAGCAGATGTGCCATCTGCCGGCAGGCCTCACTTCTGACAGCTTCGACCCGAACCGCAACATCAAGCATCTGCCCAGCAATTAATTCACCATGTCTGGTGCCTTCAATACGCGTAAGCTCAACTAGAATGCCGATATACCTATGGACGCGCAAAGAGTAACAATTTCGGTAAAGTTTCGTTGCCATATTTTCTATGATAATGAGATAATAATTCTTGTGAAACAAATGATAGGTATTTTGTTTGACTGACTGGACAGAAAGAACAGATCTTGATATACACGGTTCGATTCTAAATTCTTTCATGGTTTAGCCCGAATAACTCAATCACAAAATATCACATTTGTGATTTACAGAAAGTTTCCAAGTTTCAAATAGTTATGTTTGAAAGTAATCACTACTAACCAGTCAAAGTTCGTAATGAAGTGATAGTTGTCTTGTGAGCAGATGTCGATAATTTTGGCAAGTAATTGATCCCGATAATGTTGACCTTCAGCTTTGTCAACGTGGGTCATAAGGCGTCGAACGATCTCTTGAAGGTTTTTCTTGCCGACCATTCCATAAAGAAGATCCAGGGCGCGCAGTCGGATTGACTCATCTTTGTCGTCCAGGCACTGAAGTACCAGATCCTTGTGCGACTGAACAGTCTTCGGGTGCGTCTTCAGGATCTTCGCCATCGCCAATAGACCAAGATACTTCACTAAAGGTGCCAATTCACAACAATGTTGCGGTAATGATCATTATCCAATGAATGAATGCTTAAACTTAATATTTTGGCATCGCTGTAGACAACTGGCTTCCACCAGCACGAAATGAAGTGTCTCTACGCTCCGTTTTTAACCTAGAACACCTCAGATGTACCTAAGTTTAGCAGGCAAGCACGGTATTATTGCGCCATCACACATTTACCAACTGATATATCTACAAACTGCGACAAAGGAATACTTAGTCAGCTCCTGGGAATACCTAGCTAACGGCAAATTTATCTACGTAAAAAATCCTTTTTTTTTTGTAGTAGACAACACTCACAGTTCTGATCGGAATCTTCGATGAGCACTCTGAGCTTCTGTACGCACAACTGAATCGACGCTGAATGCGACGGCAGACCGGAGGAGATCGAAATCAACACTAAGGCAGTCAGCACAAAATATCAAAAGATTCAATAGGTAAAATGAGGCGCTACTATACTCGAGCTGATACAATAAATTTTATCCTTCAAATGATTATGTTTTTTCAGTTTAAAAAAATTCGCTAGTTTTTGTCAACTAGTTATGGAAAGACAGCAGTAAATAGGTCACTGTTTTCTGGAAATTTAGAAAACTGATTTACATGTATTTCCTTTATTCTTAAAATGCCGTTTGGCGCATTTATGCATGCTAAATAAACCAGCACATTTATTCTGAAAAAACGCCTTACGGTTCGTTGACAACGTTGACAAGAACCTTTTAAAGCTATTCTGAGACACTTCACCGTATCCATTTACAATAGAATTGATCCCTAGTTGCATATATTGCTCCATCAAATCATTGCATATATAGCATAGATAGTTTTTTAATTGTGACTAAAGCTATGACGTCTCATAGCATTTCGCATAGAAAAAACGAACGATTTCTTTCCTTTTTCATTTTTAGTCATCTTTTTCACAACTTACCAGCGATAACAGTGTTGATGCATTCGTATAGCAACGACATTGCGGACGTACTGTATGAACCCAACGACACGAGGCGGCAATGATAATCACGCCAGGAGGTTGACCGGTACACAATAAATAGATATTATTAATTGACTTCCTCAATGACGTTCCAAGTATCTTCACTTGCACAGCGATTTGCCACATATTCATGACAGAAGTATCATCATTGGCATCATTTTCATCAGCATCACCACAATACCCCCCAATGCAGTGGCGTGCAGAACTTGACATGCAGATTCGACAAGCGATTCATGCAATGTGTGTATATATGTATATATATCGGCCGTCCATGCGGTGGCAGACAAACGGTTAAGAGGAATTAGCGGGCCATTCTAAGTCTGTAACGATATAAGCCTGAAAATGATTAGCAGACTAGATGTTCGCATCACATCAAAATCGAACGGATCTGTAAGCTGTTTGTTCATAGAAAAATTGAATAAAGCTTTGAAAACTTAGGGCGGTGAAGGCCGGTTAGGAGGATTGCGAAAAAAAAAAAAACGAGACGATATCATACAATTTTAGATAATACCGCATTATTATTAGTATTATTATTATGTCATATTATAAAAGAATGAGTCGGTGCATTTTTCAAACCAGCGTTGGCTGTTATACAGAAAAGTTCCGTAATAATTGCGTTTTGCGAAGGTTGGGCTCAGTTGTGGTGGTCCTATGTGATGGACATTTGTGTCGCTTTAGAAAAGATGTTTCGACCTTGGTCATAGTCAGAGGATACGGGTACAGAACACGGTAAATAGTTTGTCGGCGATAATTTGCACCGGTGAAAAAAACTGGGGTCCCTAAGGCATCATAGGGACTTGATAATATCATAGTTTGACAGTGTCTTCGTTAGGCAGGCCCCGTTGGGCAGCTTTGAGTCCTAATAACATCATCGACTGTAAATGTTTACAGTTTATTCAATCGCTTGGAAACGACAAGTTTTTTTTTTATCCTTTGCGACCTGCAAAGGTCTATGTGATGCAGGGGCAGTTATATAACTACTAGACAAAACAATTGTTTAAATATAGCAAACATAGTTCGCGATTCTCTTTGTCCTAATATGGAATTTCCATCGACCACTCGAGAATCAGTTAGTCGTGCTATGACAGTTAGTTATCCAGATTAAGGTTTATTTGATATTGATCTGCGCACTTTTCTTAGAAGCCAATTGATAATCGTTTTGTCGTTTATGAAGCAGAGTCAGCAAATCATATTGATTGTACTTTCGAATCGTTATTAAGATAAGCCAGCTATTAGCCATCTCGAACCAGAAAAGTAGCTAAGACGTCGACTTATGACAAACTAGAGCTCGAAGGGAAAAACCAGTTTATCATTTCATAGATGGCTTAAACAGGGACACCTTTCAGGCTTGTAAAAATTGCCCTTTTATTTCAAGAATAATGAGTTTCGTTAATTAATGTTTACACAGAGTCCAATTGAAAAAAATTGCAATCTGCAAGCCGCAAAGCACTACACACGATTCCTTGTTGAAGATTATCTCCCGAAAGGCTTAGAATAAGTATAGACTGCCATGCGAATATGTGAGTGCAGCTTAGATGTTATTACCATTTTTTTTATCGAACAGCTCAATTATAGGCAAAAACAAGACAGTTTTATTCCAAAACATAATTAATTTTATCACAAACTAATCACAAACTCCCTATATCAAGTGACAGGGTGGCCAAATAACGATTGCGCGATTTTTTACGTTCGCCTAATTACACAGTTCCTGTGCAACTCAGTTTGATATTACGCGCTATTTATTATTGGATATTTTTCTTACACCGAAAAAATTATCGCGCAGCACTCTTATTTCCGCTCACCCTGCATCACCCTCATAATAACGCATCCAATTATTATTACGGGTCGTGCCGTGCCATTAACGATCTAGAAGAGAAATCGCTAATTAAGGAAGCGTTTAAAGAAATATTAGAAACAGTAAATAGGATAGGAAAGGTAGCAAAGGCGTACGTGAGAAACAACAAGACTTTCACTTTTTCAAACATCGGTTTCGGTACCTGAGGATCAAATTAGTCAGCGGCTCAATGAGCTTTTTGCCGAGGCGTGGTTCGAGCGGCGTCAGCGCCCCGAACTGAAATTTAACAAATCCGAAATAGAATAGAATACAGAGATAAAAAAGAGACATAAAAATTTAATGCGGTACAAAAATAACCGAAACGATTCAAGGAAAAACAACACGGTAGAAATTAAGTCATGAAAATAATGTGTTTCTGTCATCGTCCGAACAACGCATGATCGATCATGTCGCTGCGATCATGACGAAATCACGTGACATAAAAAGCGTAACATCAAGCAAATTCTAAACTCGTCTAACTCTGCTAAGTAAACTATGGAGGTAATCTGCTCCTAGCGTCGTCACCTCCTTGGTGCCCGAAGCGACTGAGCAAATAGATCCGCCTATCAATCATTAATCTATAAAATGGATTTGTTTGAGATGAAATTAAAAGGATTCTGTATAGCTAAAAGCCTACGACGACGTCGAACGTGCAATACAAAGATGTCCCAACGCGAAGAAGACGCGCGTTGCCGAACGAGGGCACTCCGACAACGATTTCTCGCTGTTCGAAGTCACCATGACGGGTGGTAATCATTGTTCACACGGGAAGTACTTCCTGGAAAAACACCCCAGGAGAAACAATCCGCTAGGAAGCTTGGCTTCCTCTAGAGTCAAGAACAAACACGATTCTTAGGTTGCTTCTTATATCTAAAACAACAAAAAAGGCTAATTCAAGGCTCAGTGTTTGTTGTTAGCTAACTAAGCCACCGTTTATCATACAAATCAAGCAAACATTTTTCTCTCAGTTACATTCACATCGCCATACATGTTAAGCTTATTGGTCATTTGCATTCACTCCAACTATGTATTCAGTCTATCCAAGGATTATGTAACGGGAGTAGAAGCGGCTGACAAAGGCGCATGTTCGATTAAAGGAAATATATCAAAAAACGACAGTCACTATTTGACTGGCTCTAGGTAAGTTAAAACTCTAAGATCACGAAAATCAGCTCATTGGCAAAACAATATAGTCCATTTGCTGAAAATCTGTATCTACAGTAACAGGGTATATTCAGTAGTAGCCATTTTTTAGCTAGCATCATCTAGAAAGATTTTTCAAAATAAAGAGAGATATCTTTATCTAACAAAACGGACGTTAACTTCACCCATGAACACAAAGCCTACAAAGTTCTACGGATAGTTCAGCCAGCCAATTAATCCGCGAAGTACGTAGACTTGAAAACGAAGGTTATCGGTAGTGCAAGCCATAATGCCCTGCATTAAACTCAAGCGCAATGTTTCTATATAATGTTGTACTTCAATATTTTGCCAGGTCTAAGTCAATCATGTGATTAGGTAGATTATTCAACAGTAGCTACTCGGTCATATTTATCAGGCAGCCACTTTTACTATACGTCACTTTACCCACTGATGATCACTCTTACTGTCATTTTTATATTTAAACACAATGAAAATATTGCTTGTTATACTAACGACCTTAATTTTACAATGAAATTAAAAACTCTGCCAAAGGCTGAAGAAAAAAACTCAAAAAAACAACGCGCACAGTAACACAGTTAAATGTAGCTAATACCTATTTCAATGATCACTAGAGTTGAAACGACTCAGTTCTAGCAAGACCATTAGAAGGCTTCGTAGGAGTAAACTTCATTAAAATGTTTCCAACCTTTTGAGTCTTTCTAATATTGGTAATAAGTGAAGTGTCGACTCTCTTCGTCTCGTGGGTTAGTAGCATTTTTAATGAATTGTGGATCACGAGCAAGCCTGTGAAAGAGTGGATTCCAACGTAGTGCAATGCAAGCAGCTTAAATCAATGTTGCCGTGATGTCGGCATAAATAGTGCGCTCGGTTTGAATCAATTACTTTTCATTTTAGTAAATTTCCTCATTATCACCAGATTGAGGATTACTGGGCCATCACGGAACCAAGCCACGCCAGGCAGTCACAAACGCATGGTCTGCACCTAGACCGTGAATCGCCCGCCCGAAGAAGAGAAACACAAAACCAATTCATAAGTCGGGCTTCATTACCATAGTTGCTCAATGCATATGGGGTTGTGGTGACCAAGACTCGAAGGACAAAAAAAACTAACTATTTAACTGAAAAGAGCCAGAAAACCACCCAGCCGACGGCCAAAAAGACTCGATACTGTGTTGGCTATATTGGCACTTGACTATTGGGCTATCGGGGCATGTTACCTTCGTATTAGACATATCAGAGGTTGACTGAGCTTTCGGCCTAGCCGAGGTTCGTAGTGGGTCAACACACCAAACTGGAAGAAAGTAACAGGAATCAATTTCAACGGCAATTTTTTGTCATAAATAACATCAACGGTAATAATAACACTAATAGGTAGAAATATCCAAGGAACCACAAAAGTAGGTATTAAAGCTCTTCAACACAAAAATATTACATCTAAAATAACTATCCATGTTATGTGACAAAATATTGTTAAACAATCACGTTAGTGCTATATTCCCGTAGACATATTCTTTACAACAAAGTTGCAAGTCATTCTTTATATTTTTGTTAAGTTAAACATACCAGTTTGATAATCTTGATGAGCATCCAGTTATTGGTTGATGAGGTCATTAACTTGAAGAAAACTGGCGCCAACGGGAGGTAGTTTTTCGGATTTTTGCGGGCCAATTCACAAATCACATTCACTGCGGCCGACTGCACGCCTATTCATACCAACAATAAACGTTGAAAAGACGGCGAAAACAAAAAAAATTCCTCAATACACACTGTATTGATAAAATGCTAATGGGGTGTACATTACAACAAATAAACGTTCTGTTCCTCTTAATCGGCAGATCGGCAATTTAATGAGAGACCCTTCAGTCTCGTTTATCAGTAAGAAGAGCGTCCGTTTTAAGTACTGCAGGCTTTAAAATAACAACTAACGTAATCATTTTTGTAAAAAATTTCATCTGCAGAAAGTTTGATATATTGAAAGTAGACCCATATTTTACATTTTGCTACGAACGAGCAACGCTCAACTTTTCATTATATTTACTTTGGAATAGTCAACATTTGTTAGTTTTTAATGACTTTCCTGTCATGCCTGCAACATTTTATCAAATGACCTACAAATATAAGAACAACTCTATGTTGTGGTGTGTCTCTCCGTGCTCGAGAGGAGCTACATTTGACGCTGCTTATGATTTGCTTCTATGGTGAATGACAAGGTTAGTTTACGATATAGTTATGTGAGTAGCACTTCATGCATTTTTGAATGGTAGGCACTTGTTCTATTCTATGCAGTACAATGGATATGCAGATTAAATGTAGGTGAACGGAAATGCATGCTTACCGGGGTCAGGATCTTCGAGCTTCTCTTTGAGTTTAGGAAAGGCGGGACGCAGGGCATCCGGGAAGCGTAGAAAGATCTTATACATTAGCAAAACCGCCTTCTTGCGCAGATATGGCTTGGTTGAGGTTAGAAGCGTCATGACATCGTGACTGAGATCGCGTGCCAGATCCGGCGTGACGAAACATGCTAATCCGGACATGGCAACACCCGATTCATACATCCCAACACTATTTAGGTCCTGTGTAATGAGCGAAAAATGAGCTGTTTGGTTAAGTCAAAAAAAAATATTTTCACATGTCGCAAGTGCCTATATGAATATCCCGCGATGATCATCAAACCAAAAGAGAACTAACTAAACAAAAGTCTGTAAGAATCTTTGCTTTCAAATGTAAAAAACAATACATTTCAACGGCCCGTTCAACGAGTAAACTCCCCTCTGTAACGGTCGAGCTAAATTTAGCTCAAATAAAATGTTTAGTCTGATTTCAAGAACTTAAGTTGGCCCTATTTCGTGTAAGTGATCGTAATTATGCCCACCTTACGGATCATATTTGTTGTAAGCATAAGAACATCGGTCTCGTCATGGAACGATTGGGACGCCGCCAGGTAACCAACCCGTTTAAATGTAAATTTCGATGAAGACATCACTTCAATGATGTTGAAGGCCGCCCAGCTGATATCATAGCCAAGCATTTGTAACTGGAAGAGTCCGCACAATAAAAAAAATACGAGCCGATATGTAAACTGTGTTCTAAACCTACCAGCTACATTTAGACTGATGTAATATTTAGAAGCGTTTCAAGAGCAGTAACAACAATAGTAATAATACCAATACTAAATAGATATTTACGTACCTGATTCAGCACGTAGGAAACATAAACCACACTTATCAAGGTATATCTCTATATAACACTGAATTGCAAAAAAAAGAACACTAATCTTCAGTGTTTAAGTACTTACTGAAAACAATATAACTTTACCTTTTTTTCGACTCTTTAAGATTAAAACAATAGCATTTTACTGGATTACCAGTAGATGCCAATGCTTCTTCACAACTAAAATAGCAGGCTTCAGTCGATTCCAGTACATGTCTAAATATCTTAAGCTCAGCATAACTATAGGCGAAAATTATACACATTAACGTCAAAGTAACGTATAAAAGCTGTCTGCACGCAACCCAAACGCGTTGCAACGAATGGGTCTCTTTTCACGAAGGACGGTCTCCTATTCTCAATATTCTCATTACTTTTAGCATCTCGTTCACTAGCATGGGTCCCATGCACATCATAATGAACACTTACATAGGCCAGTTTAGCAACGGCGTTTGACTTGACGGCAGTATTGTCTTGACGAAGCTCCTCCTTGATTTCTTCCATACATTGTGTAATGTATTTTGCCTGTGACAATAAAAAATGGTTAAAACTTCAGTATATATAACGCAAGCGTGACTATACGACAAAGATTGAATCTGTGTATGAATATATGCTGTGCGTGAGAAAACAATGCTTTATTCTATTAATGAGAACGGTTTCTGCGAACGAAATTAATAATTGATGTAATAAAATCGGCTCCTTCGCATCAATACGATCCAGTGCCCGTCAAAATGGATCTTCATCTATGCATATACGGGGTGGCCCAAAAAATATGTGCACTGTTTACATCTTTCTTGAGGGTACACTTATTGGTGTAAAAATTTGTTTTACCATGTATTCGAAATGGTTTTGGCGAAAAAGAAGAATTGAATTTTTAATAGGACGAAGTACCTACGCACTATTATTGTGGTGTAAAAGTTATCTTAATGAGAATCTTCCAAACAAATGGCTCGAACAAGCAGGTTCCATAAAATACCCTGCCAATTCCTCAGACCACTCTACGCTAAAAAGCAGTGGACACTGGAAGTAAGACTGGAAATCGAGACGCAACTCAGCAAAAACGTTACTTGTGTCATATATCGATGCCATAATTTGTGAGTCAGTAACTGCCGTTATCAGCAGCGAATTGATCAGAGCGGTAAGAATTTTGCATATCTACAGTAAAAGGAAAAATTATATTTTTTATAGGTTCCTTTGTTTTATATATATATATATCATCTACAATCATTCATTGTGTATACATCTTTTAGGTCACCTTCTACATATATGACCAACGTTTTCATATGTACAGAATTTCTACGAGTATAACAAAAAAAAATGAATTATTCGACTGGAGTGGACACAAATAATTTCCAGTCATTTATTTCAAAAATAAAAAATGCAGTTAGAAAGAACTCAAGTTGTAATTTTTAGGGTTCACCAACACCCAACTAATACGAAAAGCCAGCAGTAATACATAATAAAAAGCTGTTCAAAACAGTGCGGCCGTGTACACTGGTTTACTAAGCAGTTTTGAACTCAGGAATTTAAGAAGTCCTTGAAACAACGTCCAACTGTGTTCAAAATAGATAATTTTAACAACGCAAAAGCAAAAAGGACCCATAAAGTAAATCTAGTCTTTCGATACCTACAAAAAAATGTCCGTTTCTATTCATCGATATTGTGCAAGAAATAATAGATAGCTAGATGAATAACCTCTTCTGTGCTAAAAACAAATAAACATCAAACCAAAAACCGATACAGTCTATAAACCCAAAACAGCGCTGCTAAACAAATTTACTGGCTATTTTAAAAATTATCACAAAATCGTCAATATAGACATTAGCTAAATATCAACACGACTTCATTAGAATCTGGAATAAACATCAAAGTTGTGCTAATTCTTTTCAGCTTTGTTGTTGTACAAACAAAGGAGTAGCTGCCAATAGTTGAGTAAAAATTGACTGAAAAGAGCATATAACACGCCGACAACATAGCCTCGAATTATTTATTCATAGTTCACAGGTGTATAGATTCCATTTCGTCCCATATTTTATTCGTCAACTTTATATATAGGCTTTAGTGATGTGAGTACTAATCCGCTTTCTACGCCTGTTTTTTAGACAGCCAACGAGATTGTTGCTACGGCTTTACGCTGACTTTTGCAGTTGTCAATATTATGCATAGGCATTGACTTTTTATGGTTTTTGACTAACCCCTCTTGCACGTTTCGAAGTCCACGAATTCCTTTCATTTTGCTTTCTAAACCTTGCTTTTGTTGATTAACGTATTGTTACCAATGCCCACGATTCGCATCGCACAATCTATTACACATTATCTGGCAGGCACTCGCGCAGGGATCCTGTGAGTACATGAGACCATCGTCGCCAGTCTTGCCATACACTCCTACATGACATTGGGTAGCGCACCCAAAAGTATTCCTCTGTTTGTCAAGAAGTACAAATGTCACACGTTTTCTTGTATTCTTTTTACATATAAACGACAAGCATATATACATATATACATATACAAACTATTATTAATGAAAATAATTATATGCGTTATTGAACGTTCCCTATGGTGCATTTTATTCGACAATGAATTTTACAGGCATGGTTGCGTTATCTGCCTTGCGTGAGCCACTTGTTTATCCGCCCCATGGTGGCGTCGGCATCAGCAGGGGGAGGAGCATTATCAAAGGAGCATTAGTTATTCACGTAATCGTTTTCATTACGACTGACTACCTTGTGACCGAGGATACCGGATATATTTTTTATACCATATGGTCCATGATGCAATTAAACTTTACTGGAAAACAAAAATTTAGATTGCAAAATTCACTCAATTTTACAGAGCCGTTGACACTTCATAAAATCCGGTAACTGATACCAAAACGCGGAGCTATTTGACGATGAGTACAATAACATGAGATTGGAATTCACACAGATGCGGTGCAATGGAGATGTACAACAATGAATGATTTGAACCTGTTCGACATAAAATTTGTATTAAGATTTCCTTGTTTCTATAAACAGCTGTTTATTCTTTCCTGACAGGTGATATTGTCAGGCTGAAGGAAAGATGTATGTTGTACAAAATTCAGCTACGGTTGTGAGCAGCAATATCTTTCCACCTATTATAAGGCATTGCATATATATTACATCACTATATCCGAAACTAGCCACGCTACGGGACCTACTTCGGTAATATGATGTATTTCGTATTTCCATCAACATTCACCAGCTGCTTGGCGATGATAGCTGTTGGTCCCACCGCGTGTGTAAATTGCACTATTACACGAGCTTTATGCGAATATACTAAAAACCACCAAATAAAAATCTGCTAATTGATCCCTCTCACACATCATTGCTTACCTCATTGTCACGGTTGTTTCGAATTCCACGGACAAGATCGGTGAGATTCTTATCGAACATACGCTCCAGATTGCCCTTTACTTTCTTAAGCGCCATTATTTGCTTACTTGTTTTTATCTGTATATATTTTTCCGGTAGCTTAAGGAACGACACGGTTCTGGTGCAACTATTCTGATTGCAACTGCTATGCAACACGATCCTCGTTGGATAGTGGTCCCCAGTCCGTGTTCCAAGCGCAAGAGCCTGAACTCGACACACGACGCACTTCGACGCACGACACACAAGTTCGTTGCACTGCACCCTTCCGCTGTTCACAGAGAAGTTCGACGGACTCACCCCGCCGACGCTTGAGAAGCCGTCGAGGCGCTAACACCTGTATCTTAACATTGTATGGCCGGTGACATTACGCAAAGGCCCCGAACACCTACACATAGACGCTATACATGCGATCCTTTTCCGGCACCTCCTGCAGGACCCACAAGCGCCAGGATTTTTACTGGTGACAATTTGTCAGCAATGATTAACTCAAAGGTTAGTTGCTCTAAACAGTGCTCGACGAAGAACACATTGACGGCAGTTGCTCGGAAGTCGGTAGAGATTTATCGTTTAGAGGTTGGATGAATCGCCGCAAGTCGCCTCCTTCCAACAAATGTCATCATAGCTGCTGTACTGGACACACAGAGGTGCACATATACATTGATTGACCAGCAGTGATCTAGACAGGCGGTCCTCCTCCACAGCAGTCAATGGTTTATGCACTCTCCTCTCTATATGAAATGAGATGTCTAGAAAGGTGCACTGTCGATGGTCCGTGTATTGCGCGCCTACCTTTCACAAGCAGACTGCGAAGAAAACGACGGTTTGTCGTCGTGCGGCCTTGGCTAGGGAGTCTCTAGGGATAAGGTCAGGATGAAAATTTTCAGAAGTAAGAAACTGTCAGAAAATAGTTCTAAACATTCAACAATGAAATCAAATAGAAAGGAATGAAGAGTATAATACATCACGATATTGCAGTAACTTGAGAGGCTCCCTATCTTCTTTCGCTCATATTTATTTAGCTAGCAGACGACGTAGCAGTGAATATTAGGGGTCCGGGACAGCTGCCAGATGCGCGACGAGTGCCCTTTGTTCGAATGAAAATTCTAATGACAGCGAGGTCGATTCTCTATCTGTGAACTTTCGCATCAGCCAGTAGCCGCAGGTTTCGAAACGATTAACAATCTTGATCTTTCACCAGGTATATTTTTATCATTATCTCCCGTCACGATTCTCAGATATTCCGTTACTTTGCTTTTAAATGTCTTTCAATTTCCTCTCGATTCTGCAGCTCACATTTTAGAAATTTTAGCGTGGAACACAAAACAGGACGCGCGCAACCTCTTTACGACCAACACATTTTATTCTCACTGTTTTCAAGCTTTTACATCGAGCACTTCCGACAAATCGGTCTACTTCTCTTTTTTATTCAAGCCCCATTGCCACTAAGTTGCCTTTAAGTGTCTTTGCTCTCCTCCCTGACTCGTTCGACAGACGACTAGCTGATAAACACTAGCTGTTCATCTCCATGTCATATCTCGAGAGCGTAAATTATCGAAGTTCAAAGTCGATTTGACAATTACAATAAAAATATTATGTGCTTAACTCGTGCTAGCAAGCAGTTAATTGCTGTTCGAACTCTTACGGCGGCTTTTCAGGTCTTCTGTTTAGCCATAATAACTCTCTTCCGCCTTGTGTTTTCCTCAAGAGACCTATTGACAACGAGCGGTACTACTAGACAAGACCGAACTCGCAGAGATAGCTACCCTGAGGAAAAACATCGAAACAGCTGATTAAAAGAACTTGAGAATTTCTTTTATCAAAGGAATGTATTCTATTGAAATACGTTTTTTAAAGATTAATCGCGGGGCTGAATAGTAAATGCTTGCATTCCTCTGGTGGCTAGATCCAATCATATGAGGTTCCGCGGAAGTTAATGAACAAAGTTTATTCTACCGTATACATCTAAATATTATTGCCTTACAGTGAAGTAGCTAGTTGTCCCTTCCCCGCTGTACCAGGAGGCCAGTGACATTTGAATTTCTACCATCGGCAGTGTTATGGCCCAAAGAGACATACTGAAAAGGCTAGTCATGAACTTCGTCAACTCCTTACGACGACCGCCACGGCCGAAGTTGTGTGGAGAGGATAGATTTGGCAATAAATATTACGAGTTTAAACCTGGTTAGTATAAATAGACGGTATATGTATAAATAGTATAAATACTCTATAAATATAGTTTTCTCTGTACCAATAATTTATAGATCTCGCACATTTGAACCGAAAGAGAGTTTAAAGTACACAAATGATATATACGTTAAAGCAAGTATTCTGAAAAATACAAGAATGATTTAGATTATTTCTTCTATCCACAAATGTGTAGTGCAAAACTCATGTTAGGAAAAATTCGAGTTTATGCTGAAGCATGTGGCAAAGCCTTTTCCATACACGGTGCTTCTTTTTGATTTCTCATCGCGGCAATTGTAGGCATTCGCTGCGGGTACTAAACATGTCTGACGGTTGTTTTCAAATCGTTTCAGGAGAATTTGGCTAGCATGTAACTTACAGCTCGGGCTCTGTCATAGTAGGCTGAAGGACGCAGTAAACATCCGCAACACTGGGGTTCATATCTATCTGTTGATAAACGTCTCGATCTTAATAGACAGCTTTGCTATAAAATAGTTCGTAGAATAGTTATGGAATTAACAATTTTTTAGCCATAAACTCGAGTTAGCGGACCTCGACACTATAGGCATATGAAGTTTCTAGTAAAAGCGCATTAAAAACATTTTGCCCCTAAAATCACATTTGAGGCATACTCAAAGCGTCTATTTAAGTATGCGATGTGAAAATTTAGACTAGAAATTATCTTAGTTTCGGCATTCATGCAAACTGTAAATCGTATGATGACTTTAATAATACCTAACAGCAATGACGGCATCCTTTGATATAATGCAGCCAAGCATAAGAACAAGAAACTATATCAGTTTAAATGTTTTATATCTATGTATATGGCCATTTACATGTCTCTCAAACAAGTAGATGGCCCGATTTGTTCTTACAGAGAGTGCGGTCAAAATGTTTTGGAAACGAGATTTGTGAAATGATGATTATACGATCTAAGGAGTCGATATCTCTTTCTTGTTCGTCAGACAAACGAAAGAAAAAGACCTTGTTTGGTAAACTAGCTTCCCGTTTAATTCGTAACACAAGTGTGTCAAATATTGCAAATATATAGAGACTAAAAAGTAGAAACTGCTTCTGTGATGACCGTTGGGAGCATTCCCCATGGGATAACAGATAATGAAAGAAGTAACTGACATAATGTCTTCTGCTTTTTTGAAACGAGTCGTATGCTATCTTGTAGATTTGTGTGCACTTTCCAAGAGTTGCTGACTTGTTTGTTGCGGAATAACTAGATCCATCACAGTCAGCCATAATTTCAACAGAAATGAAGTAAACGGTTTAACTCTTAATGCCGTATCGTGGAACTAAATAGTGCATTTTAAATTTGTAAAATAGAATTTACGGAACACGTTAAACTTCCATCGAATTTCCAAAATTTCTTAAATTTTTTAAAATTTATATTCTATTAATTTGTCTTTAATCCTTGGATACTACCTGTTACGAATTTCACATTTTTCAGAAGCCAGCAAAACTATTGCAGCAGCAAAAGAATTGATTTTGTCTCAAAGCAGCTAGAACACGGCCCCGCTGTTCTTTGTAAACGATATTTTTAAACAACAAAAAGGAGGCAGGATTTGATGGTATTTACGCGCAACGAACTTATTACAAAAAGCTACACTTTCTTCGAGAGCTTGTTGTTGTTGTTTATAATACGATAAAAATCGAAGTAGGTCTATAAGGAGTTGCTCGTTTATATTGATACGTTCGTCTATTTGCTGCATCGCAGTTTCCAGCCAAGTAATTTCCGGAGTGAGCTGAATGCAGCTTCTTATACAACATGTGAATTAAAGAAAACGTGTTATATTGTTCTAAACGTGTTCTAAAACCAGAGATCGGTAATACCCAGAAGACCATAATAGGCACACATTTTTATTCAAAAAGTATCGTTGGAAAACAACATTGGTATTTAGTTACATTATAAAGAACTCTTGTTTATTTATCGATGCGGTTGTTTGTAGCCGAAGGAAGCAATCTACGTCAAAAACGCTGGTTTGTACCATTAAATGAAACACGTTTCGACCAAGAGATTCCTGTAGAATGGGAAGCTTGGCTTCGATACCGCCGAAGTGAACCGCCGATGCCTGAGGAAATCGAGGCCAATCGCATCGTTCAACAACAGACGATAAAAAATGCCAAAAAATTGAGCGGCCAACGGAAACTGGTTAGTGTAATTTGACCATTCGATGCTATCCGTTTTCGGATTTATTTGCTAGTTTGAATTTGCTAGTTTTCTTGTTCAATTGCAATAATTCATTTGAAGACCATAAAACTTAGATTGAAATGAGTAGTCAAAAATAAGTGACATTTAAAGAGACATTTCGATCGTACTGCGTATGACATTTTGAGAAACTATTTCAAATGACGCTGAAATTACGAGACAACGCAGAAGCTTCCAACTTTTAAGACCAACAAAACTAATTATTCGTCGGGTAATAGTTTGCCTCTGATTCCGACTTGAATTTATTATCTATAACAATGAATGTATTTAAGTTCATCATGTAATTTCCGTAAACTGATGTGACTTCTCAAATAGTGTAGGTAATATTCGACAAAATCTATGAAGGAATCACCAAGTTTTGGAATTATTGTCCAGTATCACTCCCATTTATGTAATTTTGTGTTTTGTACCTAAAAAAATGTTGTAATTTTTAACTAAAATAGCATTTTTTAGCTCCATCTATACATTGAATTATTTTCATTGTAGTCAATTCATTCTTACGAATTCGAATGAGCTAAGCGTCGTTCGAAGCTTCAATGGTTGTCAACCAGACACGGCCACAAAACCCAAATTGTCAAATGTGTACTTTGTAGCGACGAGCAACTACACCTACGAAAAATACATTTGGTATGACGATGTCTATATAGCGAGTTTGTATACCATTGTGACAACATCTAAAATCCCCCTCTTTCCCTTTCTTTCTCCTTATTGATCTGTAGACTTATATATATATATATATATATATATAACACAGTTCATCAACGTAGCATATTTAGTCATTAAATGATAGATTTATTCTATTACATACTGTCACGTAATATTTAAGCATATTCTATTACAATACAAGACTGTGGCAGTTTTACGGAATATTGCTGCTAAGCGGTTCTAACGCTATACATTATTATATAAATATATAGTATAGTAAGCATATATAATTCCTCCACGCTAGGCTACAACTTTGTTTAAAGGCGTTTTAAAAATTTGGCTTCCACTTTTCTCGCAAAACGTAGTTGATAGAGAAAAATTCTGCACTTGTATAACGATTTCAAAAAATGTCATTAAAGCAGTTTTACTTTTTCTTTAATTCAATAATGTTTAATTTTTTTGCGAAGTCATCGACAAAATGGGCTGGTCGGCGACGTTTTTAAATATAGTGCATCGTTATGTTACATTCCTTCTCGGTTTTTCAGACGTCCGATCTGCAGAAAAATCCTTTCTCGGATTTCCCTGATATTTCGGAATATGAAAAACAGCCCGGACAGGGATACATTCGGATACCAGAAAAGCCCGATCCACCTGAAAAGAAATGACGACGCCGTGATAATCTTAAGATGAGCTAATTCATAAAGAAACTGAGACGCTTTTAGTATCGGCATATTTTGTTGTAATTTAGAAAATGCGAATAAAGGATTCTCGAGTTGCATCGGTCTAAGATAATGATAAAGTTTATTACTTTTACGGAATTATTAGTCGCATTCGTCTGCTTGTTCGATAATACATTTTCTTTATTTAGTTTCTATTATTAATTTTTACAATAGCATTTATATATACAAGAGCATCTCATAGAAGTTTGATGAAGAAGAAGGAATGATGGGTCTTCGCATCTTAATCAAGCTATTTAAAAATTGTCTCGACAACCCCGACTCTATTTCGCATCCTGTTGTGTATTATCATATTGTAAACTCAAGGACTTCCAGTGTGTTGTTGGTACGATGTACTGCTCCTTCTCGGCAGCTTTAATGGAGTATAATGGTATTTGCTGCTCCTCTTTATTTTAGGAGCTAAACTCATCAATAGCTGCCCCGCAACATTTTGGCACTTACTATTTTTATCAATTATCAATCAATTAATAGCCGAGATTGGATAGACAGTAGGACAATTTATAAAACGTAACCCCTTCATTGCTGAGTTCCCTAAAAGTTTCTCCGACTCTGGAATAGGAATGCTTTTCGGCTCAACTTATTTGTTGCCTAGTCATAAGTTTTAACCGCGAGTCAGCCAATACCCGCTAACATATTAAGGTTAATTAGGGACTTTCCATTTAAAAGGGAACTTCATTTAAGACGTGAAGCTAAATTATTCGAACAGATTTGCAGAATATATCTAGGATCATTGTAAAAAATATGGGAAGATGTATAGTTCAACTATCTTGACTCGCGAAATCCTTTTTCTGTACCCAAATCAAATACTCCATAGTTATACCCAAAAACCTGTTAACTTTATCTTCCCTCTGCAGCACATTTATATTTCGCCTGCTTGTGTTTCACTAACCCTGTTTTATATATACCTATGTTCGTGAAAATTTGCTGCTAACGCGAAAACTGTTTCCTGAAATGTGCCCAACTATTTTACGCTCTTCCATTTTTAACTTTGTTCTTTAAGTCCCACCATTTTGACTCTCGGTACCAGTTTTCAATTGCCTTAACAGGAGCCTGAATCATTTTCGTCGTTCGAAGCCCTTTCACCAGGTATCCCTATAACCAGACAAGCCACACAGATTAGACAAGCCACGCTATTCATACAGTTCTGTTCTTGGAGCTGCCTCAGCTGCCACTGTTTCTTCTATTATTATTGATGAACGGGAAACTACTTCTGCTGCTGCTTTTGATACTGCATGTGCTGGTGGTTCGAAGCGAGATCAGGTCTCTCGGGACAACTGATGTCCTGGCATGACACAGCTGGCGACCATTGAGGTCATTTCTTCTTTCGGTGCTTGATAGCGTTAGTTCGTTTCGTATGAGCCTTTTTTAATCGCTCTTCTTTCTCAAGCTGCTTAGCCAACTTCCAAGAAAGTAATGCTGATATACATAGAAACGGACTTAAAATAAGTAGCGTGTACTGTAGAAACTCCCAAGGATGGAGAGCCGCATACTCGACGAGTGGCTGTAGCCAAGAGATATACCATGGGAATGGGTTGATAGGAATCTGTAATAAGTTGCACAACGAACAAGCGAATAATTTTTGTTTATGCCCTTACAAAAAGAAAAAATAGTGGTTGGTTCAACTAGGGGGGAAACTTTAGCGGGTTACTCGTAGTAATGGGCATGCATTCACCTGCCACTTCTGGTAACAGAAAAGAGTCAATTGTCTTTGAAACAAGATAGCAAACTTGGCGAAGAATAAGCCAGAAGAGCTTCAATAGGGTCTGGATTTAAAGGACCCAAGAAGTTTTTGACACATCTGGATTTTTCAGATTAATTAACGGCTAAATCAAAGTAGAATGTCAATTGCCAATTTAGTTGTCTAAATAAACTTTAAGGGTGAGTCTTTTCGAAATTGTTTAAGTCTTATTGCGCCTTTTTGCGTCTTATAAGCGTTTTAACCGTTTCAAGTGCTTGCATTTTGGGACTTTCAGTGTGCTACCAGTCTGAAATTTAATTTTGCAGGAATTTTTTATATGGTGTATTTGAGCGACATTTCAGGGAGTTTACAACCACTGATATCCCTTGACCCATGGTTACAATTAAAAGTCTATTTGCAGATTAAACAAGAATATTATAAAATTGACAGGTTACTGGCTTAGCTATTGAACCGAATCTATATTTCTTCAAGAAGGGTACTTCGAGCATATGCAGAAACGGATATCCTTAGAATATCAATTTTTGTTTAGATACAATCTTAAGATAAGAACAAAAATTCTCAATTTACACGCATTAACATTA